GGTACTTTCATTTCAAATTCATATCATTTTTGGTACTTTCTGGTGAAATTCTTATCATTTTTGGTACTTTCATTTCAAATTCATATCATTTTTGGTACTTTCTGGTGAAATTCTTTCCATTTTTGGTACTTTCATTTCAAATTCATATCATTTTTGGTACTTTCTGGTGAAATTCTTATCATTTTTGGTACTTTCATTTCAAATTCATATCATTTTTGGTACTTTCTGGTGAAATTCTTTCCATTTTTGGTACTTTCATTTCAAATTCATATCATTTTTGGTACTTTCTGGTGAAATTCTTTCCATTTTTGGTACTTTCTGTTCAAATTCATATCATTTTTGGTACTTTCTGGTGAAAGTCTTACCATTATTGGTCTTCTAACTGTCACAAAGAAATTCACATATGCCTGGATCAGGCCCTGATTAGTCCTGCTATGAGATACATTCATGGTTTTTGTGTGTGTGAGACATCACAAGAACCACAAAAGAGAAAGTTTAACGGGCTGTATAAAAACACTAGTGCTTAAACTTACCTTTAATTTGTTGGCTCATTATCCTTGTTTTGATCACATCCACAGGTGAGGTAGTAACGGCCGCCATGAAACCAGCGAATACTGAAGACACAATATGTAATACCGGACCTTCTTTCATCAATCCAGTGTTTAATATAAAATGTTTGGAATGGTCATAAGATGGAACCTGAAGTTATTGAAGAAATATAAATAATTAGCTTTACTTTTCTGTCAAATATATCACATAAATCAGATGTTGTGAAATTATTTTATACTTAATATATTAATATTTTATACTTTTATATTTAATATTAATCTCAAGGTCCGTCATAGAATACTAGTATAACTTCCTGAATAAAGGACAGAATAGAAAGGATGCAACCATGTTACATACATTCGCCATGCACTCTGAAATTAATGCAAGTTTTCTCATTAAAGCACGAACCATTTTATGAAATGAAACACACTATTTACATGCATATTTTAATTAATGTTGTTAATGCCCGGTAAAAACACCCTGGGTCCAGGAAAAACACAACTTGTTAAATGTCTAAAATGGAGGAGTGATCTTATACTCAGGAGGGGATAATGATGAGGGAAGTACGGGCGAACACAGTATCCTCATCTACTGTGAGAAGTGTAAAATGAATCTCTAAACAAGAGCGAGTGTATATGTATGTTATGCAATGTATGCATTTAGATTTAAAGAAAATGACAAAACATAAGTAATAATCTCTAAAATATTGAAGTAACAAGTTAGAAGAGGAAAATTATTGCCAAAATGTAGATGGGAAAAGTGCCCAATTTATACACAATTAAATAAACATGTACTCTAGCAGGTATCATCACTATCCAAATAGAAATGCTGGGTCTCATAACCGGTAGTGTCCATATCATCATTGTCTGTACAAGCACTTGCACGTTTGTTAGAAAATAACATAAACATACAATTCCATCAACCTATAAGGACTAGGTAAAAAAATATTAATTTAAAGAAATAAATTTAACCTATTCTCACCTGAGTAGCTGTTAAAATAGCAGCTCTATTAATAGTTGGACCAGCACCACGATAAAGTCCTCTCAGTCCTTCATGTCTGGCAATATCAGCAAATGCACTATAAGTATTATTATATCGCTTTGTTTGCCCAGAAACAAGTTTTCCTTCTGCCTGCATTCGTACTTTAATCAAATCAGTAGGAGTCGCAATAGAACTTCCTATAGCACCTGTAACAGAAACCAAAATAATATCATGCAGACTTGTGTATATTCTAAGAGGGACAATATATTGAAAAAAAAATTATTGCTCTCTTAATACTAATTCCAAAGCTTAATTAATCAATGTGTATTATCACAGATAAATCACCAGATCAAAGAGCTCACCAATCAATCAAATTCAAACCACCGTCTCAGCTGGTATTGTTTACTCTGTTCAATTGTAAATGATTGGCACACAACTCATTAACATCAACCAATCAAACCGCTACATTCGTTTTATGAAGATGACGAAAGTCGTGATGCGAGTCATAACAAATCTAAGTAAGCAAAATTTACAATATATCAAAATCAATATACCAAAATGATTGAGATTCAAAACCAAAACTATAATATTTTAAAACATCTTGAATAAATATTGTTCATGTTATTGTAATCATAAACAGATGAGAACCAACTGTCTGGATCCTTTCCTTCAATCTAAGACAGGACAAGGTGAAAAATCATCTCAAATGAAGCCAGTTTAAGTACCAATAATATCAGCCCTACAATTAGATGATCTAGCATTGGAGTTTTGTTAAAAGAAAATAATTCATTCTCTGAATATGTATGAATTACTGAAAATAATTAATTATTCATCAAGATTCAACTTTGTTTTGAATTACTGGGGCATAAAATAATTCAAGTAAAATCCAGGTGTTTTCAAAATACTATTCAAATGTGCAAATAAAATTTGAACACAATCAGACCAAAATGATCACCAACAATTGTATACGCCAAGATTCACTGAAATTTGAATATTTATAACATATTTCGTACCACTTCAGATAAGCAAATATTTCACATGATAAAAAAAAAATAAAGTGTTTACATAATATTCATGACAACTGTGTTAGTGCATTAACCATCCAGAACAGAAACACCAAAGATTGATCAATAGACGACAGTTTTAGAAATACAATCTACTGAGCATCGCATACTAACAATTACGTACCTGATGTTGCACCTGCTAAAATTTTCTTATATAATGGCGTATGTGCTGGATCTGTTGCCCCCAACCACACCTTTATTGGTTCGTAGGCACCTATTCGTATAGTACTGTATGTTCCTTCTCTTAATAATGAAGGTAAAACACTATAAAATAAAATAAAATACCAGGTGAAAGGTGAAATTCTGTTCTAAACATTTAGGATTTCGGCATTCCCATGATGTATCTTTGGAAGGAAAAGATGTATAATAATATATAATAAGGTTATTACGAGGATAAGTATGCACTCAGACAGTACGCTGTCGCTTACTGCTGCTGTATTGTCTTAAGTATACTTAGAGGTATCCTCATAATAACCTCATATTATTATGTTAGGAAAACATCTTAAGTCACAATAACATTCAAATTTCAATAATTAATAAAATCTTCCTTTAAAATTACCGGGGGTATTGATTTGTTGAGATTATTCCACTAAGGCCTAGAATTGATGTAGTGTTCTACTCACTATTAACAACTCCATAAAGGCCTATTTGCACTCTTTTATCGCCTAGAATGCATGCGATGTCGCATCATACCTAGATTATAGTAGAGTGAGTAACACTGCATAGATTGCAAGATAGGCATCAATAGAATGAGTGGAATACTGCATAGATTCTAGACTAGTGTTGTACCTAAGCATCAGAGGAGAAGGTGGAACACTGCATAGATTCTCATCGTCCGAATCGCACGGTCCTGTGTCTTCGACCTATAGGCCTCTACATGATACAGAGCGGGATCGCATAGGCTAATTGCGCATCTTAAGCAGTGAGATCTGATTGGGCGCGCCTCGAAACAAGACGCCCAATCAGCTTGGATGTACCAAACTATAAAACAAAATTCCACTTCCTGTTTCGTCGCTATGAAGACATCCTTTCCACACAAAACTGCGTCGATTGCCTGTACCTGATGAGGCTTGAGGGCACCAACATTGACAACTTTCGCAATTTTATCATCACAAATATCACGATTCATGGGTGCCGCCATTTTGTTCAAAATGAAACGCCAAAGAGAAATTTGTAACACGCAAACTGATTGGACAATGATTAGCCGCAACTGACTACTGGGGGCATAAGAATACGCATATTTGATGGTCGTTCTGCCAAGGTCTGTTTAGAGGCTTGGCCGAATAAACTTAGACCTTGGCTAGCGAAGATGATAAATTGTATGTTAGCATTGTACCTAGGTATCAGTGGAGTGAGTGGAACACTTCATAGATTCTAGGCTAAGCATTTCACTAACCGTAGCAAAATATTACTACATGTAGTAATAAACAATCTTACAAGCAAGTAGGCTTGTTGGCAATCCGCTCTGCTCAAAAAACAAGCAACATGTTTTTGGCTCATTCCATGGTAGGACATGAACATGAAGCTAACGTCGATTTATAACTAAATGAGCCCCGTATATGAAGTTTGCAAAAAAATATTAAGTCTTTTAGAAGTCACTTTACTTTATTTCTAGGATTTTAAGGGCAATCCTATCGAAGCAGATCGCCAACAATCAGTGTTTGAATACGTACCCTTTATAAAGACCTCTAATGCCTTCATCTTGAACGACTTTTATACCTCCTTTGATAAAGCCATCATAATATCTATTTTTTAATACAGCCACACCTTTTCCTTTCTGTGCCGCTAACTCTCCTTCCAACTGCATACGAATTTTAACCACATCAATAGGATTGGTTGCTGTAAAAAATAAACAAGTTCAGAGTGGGCGTCATTTTCATTTGCACTCCCTGGTTCTGCTATAGTAATATACATATGTATATGGATCAGCAAGAATGGATACTGCATACAATATACATGCTGAAACTATAATTTTACCAAATAAGATTATGGTTTATGGATGTCAAGGCAACAAGTGTTTACTGTAAACTGCTTAATTTTCACTGCTGGAAATTTTAGCAATTTGACAAATTGATGGCATTCTTGAAGGCAAAATGTTGACCTCAACTATAGAACTAAATTGTATATTTAATACTATCGTATCTTTATATATCAGCAGAAAATATGAGTAATACTATTATTGTATGGGTCTTGGGGTCATGAAATTCAAGATTACAACAAGGGGGACAAAATAATAAAAGAAAAACACAACTGAAATTTTACAAACAACTACATGTACTAGGATTAAACAAATTTGAGGCGAATATTGCATGCAGAGCCGAATTTTTAGTCGGAGAATTCCCACTTTTAGTAGATATTAAGATTAATTTAATAACTACTGGACTTGTATCAGTAAATTACCAGGAAATAATATCACAAAACTGGCATATCTTGAACAAAAGAAATCCAATTTACAATGGTTTTCTTCAAAGGAAAAAATGATGAACAACATGAATTTCTCACTAGATAATAACTAAATATATAACTGAACAAACAAAACTAAGGACTTTTTAGAAACTTGGATTGAATTTTAAATAAAGAATTTCAATGACAAAATTTCGAACTACCGATAGTAATCACAACTTAAAAATACACTTGCTTTATCTCATTACCTACTTTCTTCCCTTTTATAGTAGTAGTTATCACAAATAATCTTTATTGCTATTAACTGATAAGCAACTTTGTTTTTCAAAGGATGCAATCAAGTTATTGTCAAAATAAGCTCCACCGATACACAGTCTGTGAGTGAGGAAATGCTCGTTTTCACTGTGACCATGACGGCAACCACACAGGTAAACATCCAGTGCCAATGTTGATACCACTCATAACAAAATCGTGTGTGTCCGACTTTACGGCGTATGGCGCTGTGTTGATCGCGCGACTATTGGACAATGCCCTGTATACATAGACTGGGGAACGTCAGCCGAATTATGATACAACGTTAGTCCGTCCATGGTGATACCAAGCCCTGACACACAGTCCGTGTACTCTACGCTAGCATACTCGGCTAAGCCCATGTATACAGGGTTATAACGTTAAACAGCAGCCATAGAACAAACAAGGTTGTAGTTTCATGCGCAGTGACCTTGTTAAATGCGACTCGAATCAGTCCACAAGGACTGTGCTAAATATATATGGCTCACTCACCGAATGCCGCACACATGCAGCTCACGCCAGCAAGGGCATAACGTACTGCTTCCGATTCTGGTTGCGATGAAGCCATGTGATGCCAATATTATGTTACTCCATACCATGGAACTATAAAAGGGTTTATAGTTCCATGTCCATACTTAGTGAACTATCCTGGAACCGGTAAATGATAAATGGCGAGCCCGGGATGGCGAGACGAAACGACCGGGTCGGACAGTGCCAATCACTCACCGCTACCTAACCGATGTAACTGTTTTTCTCATTAGAATAGAAACTTGAATGATAGGACAAATTGCAATCTGTATGTTCAAATTATAATCACGTAGCACTACACTGGCTACAGTACATCGATATCTGGGTGCAACAGTACGTGACCAACCAATAATGAAAGTGAAATCTGTGCATGTACAAAACGGGGGTGTCACGCCACTTTTTTTGCCGCTTTCTAACTCGTACCCATCAACTACTAGAATCACAGGGGTGTATGGAACGCCGTCACTGTCTTATGTGGTTGTCACTAAGTATATGGCGACATTGCTGCATTATATAACGAGTTGCTTTTAATATATGATGAAAATACGTTTATATATGGTGTCGTTTGACCAATATATGGCGACATTGCTTCTATATATGATGGTGTGTTTTTAATATATGATGACAAAACGTTTATATATGGTGACGTTTGACCAATATATGGCGACATTGTTTCAATATATGATGGTGTGTTTTCAATATACGATGACAAAACGT